GGGGGGGGAGGGGGGCGGGGAGGCGAAAGACCCCTTATCCCACCCCTGGATCCGCCAATAAGTATTGGTCATTTACTTTTACTTCCATGAAAATATCTGTCTTTATTGCATAAATCACCGGTCATTTAGTTTTATGAACACGCATCGATTATTGGCCTTTAGTTTTCAAGATACAGGTAATACTCAAACCGCCCAGTTCGTAAAAAGTTTGGGCGACACGGATCTTAGTTTCTTGCCTCTTTTTAAATGTGACTGCAGAAGCGAAGCGAATTCCAATGGCGAGTAGCTATATCAGTTACGCCACGTGGATGACATAGTTCTTATTGCATACAGCGTATCTAGGGCGAATATGAAGAAGCTGTAGAAGCATAAAGAACGAAATAAGCAATCAGACGGGTAACGTGTAGCATTTATGGCGAAAACATGAGAAAGTAAAATCCGATGAGCAGAAGGCGATGTTCGGAAACGACGGATGTCGTGTTTTCGAGTGGAGACAAACAACTTTGCGGAGCACTCCGAAAATATGGCGCATATAAATCGAACAGGCAACGCACATTTTATGCATTTCGAGATCGAAAAGTCTGGCGCGAAAGAATCCCAGTAGCATCAGCAACATGACATCCCCAGCTGAGCTGTGCTCTCAAATTTATTTTTATCTCTAAATTTTTCCACTTTTTTTTATTTTTTCCACAAAAAAGTTGCAAATTTATTCAGCATTTAGACAACACACTTAGTTCATTCCAAATTTAGTTCAAAAACACACTTACATCCGACAGCCATGTAACGGAAGAAAAGCCATTTGGAAATAAGCGATTCTTCAGCAGATCGTGGTGGCCTGTCCATGATATCCAGATCAGGCGGGTTAAAGCCCAGTGCCGTAGCCGGAAGACCATCAGTGACCAAATTAACCCATAGCAATTGTACTGGAATCAATGCTTCCGGTATACCCAAGGCTGCGACCAAAAAAATCGATACAACCTGCAAAATTTTTACATCTGAAGCTTAGGAAATCCAAGAAGATGAGATGGAGGAATATTATGATAGCAGCGCTCCCTTTTTGTCAGCGCTCGATATAAAAGTAACAAAAAATTTAACAGAACATCTCCAGTGATGGTCAATTCACAACGACCGAAATACAGCAGAGAATGTCCCAGACGAAGCCGCCTTTCACAAATGAATATATATATACAGATCAGGGCTCGGAACACTTTTTTTCACAAAGTGTTCCCCGGCAATTCCTGGGGGAACACTTCTGCTGTGTATCTGCCTTTAGGAAAGGAAATACTTTTTTGTTGCCTCCCCACAGACAGTATTCATTTTTTGTGGCTGCTTCTTTTTTTGTCGGTTTCTTCGCGGGGTTTTTTGCGATAAAAACAGGGAGGACATCTTTTTTGCGTTGATGAATCTTTAGATATGTCTGCGTGAAAAGCACTAATTTCTAAAACAAAAAAAAAGTGGAAAAGCAAATATACTTAGTATACTTCGGATCGGCCATAATTCATAGTTGGGTTTTTCAGCTACACAACCCATAGGCGGGTCCAGAAGAAAGGGTAGGAGGGGAGGTGATGGGTCTTTCGTCCCCCTCCCTCACGACACATTCACTGGTGTTACAAAAGTACGGAGTCTAAAGCTAAAACTGAACAAAACTCCTTTCCGCATCCCCCGTTGTCCCCCTCCCCCATTTCCCTCACAAGCCCCCCCTCCCCTCTCTACTCCCCCGTTCGTCGCCTCTCCCCTCCCCCCTCTCTCCCGAGGAGCACACCCTGGATCCGCCTACGTACAAAGCTGGCAACCTTTTCAACTCCCTTAGCCAATGCTGCATCGTCTCAGTGGTCAGTCTACTGCTACCGATCCTGCTGTTCGCTTCATTCCCCTAATAAAGGGTTTACTTGCTCAGTCTTTTCCTCAATAGAAGCATCTGACAAAATTTCAGCTATTTTCAGTTTTCCTCGACGCGTACACGTTAAGCACCAACAATTTGTCCGGGAATTTGCCATGCTCAAGGCTAATAAATATAATTTAAAAAAACTGAAAAAAAAACCTCTCCAATATTCGAAGAAATGAGGTAACGAATGAACTGTTTCATGTTATTGTAAATGGCACGTCCTTCCTCCACGGCCGCAACAATTGTTGCAAAATTATCATCAGCTAACACCATCTCTGATGCACTTTTTGCAACGGCTGTGCCCGAACCCATTGCAATTCCTAAAAATTTCTTTAAATCACAATTCAAATGACACCAATACCAACATCATATTCAAAAAAAAAAAAAATCGTTTTGCATTTATGAAGTGCCATTTTCATATCAAATAATATAGGTATATTGAAATAGAAAAGAGGATCGATGAGAAAATTCCGAAATAAGAATTATGAAATTAATAAAATTAGTAAAATTATTTTAATAAATCTATTACAGCGGTAAGAGATAACCTAAGTAAAACACTAAGTAATAAACAATCTAGGGACACTGCTCTTAAATTCGCTATTAAAATTTCGTGTGGCCGCTGCTAATGCAACGGAGGATTTCAACAGTAAGGGTCGATTTCTTTCGTTTTCCCGTTTTTTCCCGCAGAATGTGTCATCAAGACGAGCGCTGTGAGTAAGACCGAAAAATTTTGTCGTCGGAAAACAGACAAAAAAATTCCTAGTACTATCAAATACAGTGCACATAACTTACGTAGGGAAGACTTTGGCATTACATCCAGGAACAAATTTCATAAAATAAATTGTACGAAAGAAATTGCATTCTCCAATCCCTCCCCCTGCCCCACTATCTTTCCTCGAAAAAAATCTTATCAACACTACGTACCAATTTCGGCTTTCTTCAGGGCTGGTGCATCATTGACCCCATCGCCGGTCATTGCAGTAATTTCACCATGTGACTGAAGAAATTCGACAATTTTTGATTTGTGAGCCGGTTCCACACGTGCAAAAAGTTTCGCTCGTCGGCATGCATCACTCTGTTGTTCCGGTGGCAAATCATCAAATTCACGTCCCGTGAATGCTTTTCCTGCAATTATCATTCTTATAGTTATAAAAGTAGCGATTAATTTAAGCCAAAAGAAACCACAAATTTTTCCTTCAAAATTGTAGGAGCAACGTCAGCTTCTATATTTACTTTCTATGAGAAGCGGAGGCACTCGGGAAGTAGGGTGAGTGGTGCCA